CCTAGTTTCGGGTTGCGCAGAGTACACCGGGGACGGCTCCGCATGCATTCCTATGACCCGAGACACTGTGTTGACATCGATGGGCATGATACCCGACATGACGGTGGGCGACGTGCTCGACACGCAAAACAACATCATGTGCTACACATACGACGAGTTCTAAGGGCATTCGCAAAAAATGTTAATCTCTAATGAGGATGAGAACGTGTATGTTCAGAAAATGGCCCTCTCTTGGCCGTTGGGCGTTGGCCGACTTGAAAAGCATGGATATAGGGGGTTAACAGATAAAATAGAGAAAAGGTCTAAAGGAAAAAGGATAACTATGCGTTTGATTTCGGTGGCATGCAAAACACTCCCCTTGCTGCATCTTCCTCTTTCATTCGCTCAGATTTCTCTCGAACGAACGTGGAAGCCCAGATCGTGCCCGGCTTGGTGGGGTGGGTTGGTCCTCAGGTGGTCTTCTCTTGGTGGGCCCCGGGCCAACCGCCAATGTTGGTTGCGTGTGACAGCTGTGGACGGCTGGTTGCATTTGTTCATCCCTTGCGCAGCTCCTGCTTCCTTTTTTGCAGACGAGTCGAACCTCAGGTGTTCCTTGCGTCACGAACTAACTTCTCGACACTCCTTTTTTTCATTCTTTATCTTAAACTATTTGAGGATACCTATTCATTCGACGTTACGATTTGCCACCCAACCAAGCTAAACAATCGCAACGAATCGCGCCCCACCGCGAGGGGATCGCGTTGCCCGCGGCGACCCAATGCTTCTTCGGCCGCCTCCTGCGTCGAGGCGATTTCACCATTTCGAATCCTCGATATTTTCCTGCGCCATCGTCTTCGCCGTGTGACCCATTGAGCAGGTATAACGATGCTGTCGCACCTATTCCATCGGCGGGCGCCGTCAAACCCGACCTCGCCCATCCCCGAGCACGCCCCCGGGTGGGATGCTGTCGCGCAACGCGAGCACCCGCAGCAACCCCCTCGCGATGTCTCACCACGCCCCGATACACGCCCACGTTCCCCAAATTCCTCGAAGCTTCCGCCAACTTTACCCCCCATCACCCGCGTGGCGTCGAGCGGCTCCGATCATTTCTTTACCCCACAGAACGATGCCCCACCACCGTCCCAAGACACCCGCCAGGTCCCGGCCCGTGCTGGTTACAGCGAGGAAAATAAGGCCGGCTTCATCGGCGGGGTTGCCCTGCAAAACTATCGAAAAGCCGCCCGAGAACCACAGCAATCGCAGGCATTACAAGGCCCCGGCGATGGGATGACCATGGCTGGCCAAGTCCCAGGCAACCAGCTCTCGCGGTCCAAACCCCCGCCTCCCCCAATTAATACCGGCGTCGCTGCTCTCCCGGCAGCCCAAGGCAACAAGCACACCAAGTCTTCGTGGTTCTCGACACCGACCGACCTTCAAGGGTCGGGGGGAGGCGGGAAACGGCCGGCTGGGACACGGCTCATAAGCGAACCCGCATTCGTTCCCGCTTCAGAGCCGCAGAAGGGGAGAAAGGGCCTGCCGTTTCTAAAGAACCCCATGTCGTCCCTGTTGATGAGGAGGAAAACAGCCCATTCTGCCGTGGAGACTCAACCTCTGGCCCCGACCTACGACCCCCGAATCAAAGGCACACGGGTCCATGACTTTAGCGCCCCCAGACCGAAGAAGACATTGTCGGGTGATGCAGTCTCGACGACCAAGCAAGAGGGTGTTTCACCCATTTCTAAGCTTGCAGATGGTGGCGAGGCCGGGAGACCTTCTTTTACGGGAGGGCCTACTGTGTATTCGCCGGCGGAGCCCGCCCAGGGTGCCGCTGACGTGCTCAAGTATAGCCAGAACTGTGATCCACAGCTGGGACCAGAAGCAAGAAGAATGTCGTCAAGCACGGTCCGGCCGGGCGATTCCGTGTCGCTTGCACCACCAGGTGACGCTTCCAGTTTGCGTACATCATCCTCAGGCGCTTCTGGAAAAACACGGGTCGCCACTCGCCCATCCACCACCTCAACATCCATCAGGACCACCGCATCTCGCCAATTGTCCAAATCGAACATGTCAAGGGGGAATTCCGTTGCGTCGGCCGTGCCAAAACACATGAAGAGCACCTCCTCGAGGTTCAGCTTTGACATGATCGGTGCCGCCGAGGAGGAGAGGGTGCTGGAGGAGCGCCACAGACAACGGGAGCAGGATAAAAAGACATCAGACGGGCCGAGCGATAGCCGGTTTGACGAATTAGATGAAGATTATGACTACGACGCGATGATGGATGACGGCGGGCTCGAGGAGGAGATACCCGGTGTCAATGTCGACTACGACGACTACGACGGTTACGACGACTATGGGGAGGCCGACCCCGAGGCCGACCTCGATGACCCGGACAATGATCAAGAAAACTTTGCTGGGTTTACTTTCCAGCGCTCCAATCCCGTATCGGCACTCGCGAGCCCGCACACCCCAGCCATGCTGGCGACGCCACGAGATGCGGCCGGGCAACGCTATCGGCTTTGCCACGACCAAGGACACTACCCCCACCACCGAGTCTCCCATGGGTTCCCGGCTATTTACATGGCCCCGATCAACATGATTATTCTGCTTCTGACGCCCAGGCGCCGACGCTAACCAGAGACGCGTCTGAGGTCGTCGCCGTTCAGCAACAGTCACTGCGATCCGAACACGACGACATCTACTTTGACGATGGCTTGGCGGACGAATTGGGACTTTGAGCACGACGGTGCGGTGTTTGACGAGTCTATTTTCGACAACAATGACACGGATCGGGTACGGGCGACCCATACCTGGCGCCTTCGCCCAGGGCCAAAGAGGCCATGCAGTCCGCCCACCAAAAGCAGCAGAAAGACGCTGCAGCAGGAGCGGGAGGAGGAGGAGGGGGCAGCAGCCGTCCAATAGCGAGTTTGACCAGGGATTCGTCTCACCAAACCAGCCTGGGGTCGCTGATGGCAAGGACCAGACGTCGCCGGTGCAAGACATGACCGAACAACTCCTGCCACCCAGAGTCGCACAGCCCGAGGTCGACGATCCGGCTCAGGAATTTGCCTACCAAGCCTACCTAGGGCGGCCACACAAATAGCGGCGGCGTCGGGCAAATTTGCAAGGAGCGCCTCGCCCGAGGCGTTAGCTGCGTCGGAAGACACAGCCCTTAACGAGCTTGACGGTTACGAGGACGCCGAGGACAACGGATACATAGATGACTACGCTGACGATCTGGGAGACGGTTTCGACGATTTCGATTTTGATGACGAAGCTATCATTGCCGAAGCTAACGCCAGCGCCCTCGCCAACGACTCAGACGGGTTTTACGGCCAAGAATTCGGCTTCTACTCGGCCCCTCTAGCCCACCAATCCCACGGCAACAGCCACCACCAGCCCGCGGCCACCACTACTACCGCCACCTCATCATCCGGCGTGCTCACAAGCGAAAACCTCTTCCAGTATGCCAACGGCGGCTTCTTCGGCTCTTCTACTGCCAGCATAGACCGCAGTGGCTCTGGCCGTGTCGTCCGCGAGCCCAACCTCACACCGATCACGGAGCGCTCCGAGTATTCCAACCGCAACTCGGTCATGAGTTTCACCCTCCCGCCTGCCATCAGCAGCGAGCGCAACTCGATGGTCTCGCCCCCTCTAGCCCAACTTGCGCTCCTAGCCGCCGACGCCGACGCCGACGACCCGAACATGCAAATAGCGGCACTCATGAAGCGGCGCCGCGCATGGGGCGGCTCGCAGCCCAGCTTGGTCTCGTCGCGCGAGGGAAGTCCCAGGTCGGAGAGGGCCTCGCTACCGCCGCTGGACGGCGGCGGATCCCCGTACGGCACCGTCCCCGCGCATCTGGCGGGCCATGTGAGGGTCAACTCGAACTTGTCGTTGTTGAGTTCCTCGGAGGTGGCTGAGGACAGCGGACGACATACCCCTGGCAGTGGCATGGTGAGCCCGGTGCCGCCCGGCCTGGCCTCCGGGATGGCGTCGCTCCGGGGCCAGGGCCTTGCGCAGGGGATTGTGTTGCCGCCGCGGCCGGGGAGTGCGGGCGCCGTGGTGAATGGGAGTGGTAGTGGCGGTGGCGGTAGCGGGACGGATGGCATGACCGTGCCTCCACTTCCGCAACGGCCGCACTCGCTGTTCCTGCCGCCGCAGTCGCCGCTGTCGGTTCTGTCGCCGACTGCCCAACCTATGCCTGTTTCTGGGCCTGTGCCGGTCGGCGGGAGCGCGTGCTCGCCTGTGCTGGAGGGCGAGGAGGTCGATGGGGAGGGTGTTGCTGTGGGCGGCGCCATTTATTCTGCGGGTGGGTATATGCTGGCGCCCGCTTTGCCGCTGCGAGCTGGTAATGGTGGTGACGCAGCGGAGTTGTCGTTGCAGCAGCAGCAACAGCAGCAGCAGGGATTTCCCCGCCAGCAGGGGGTCCAGCATGTTCGTAAGGGGTCGGCGGAGAGTGTCTCGTACCACGTGGAGAAAGAGGATGGGGGAAGTAAGTGGGTGTTGGAGAGGCGGCGGACAGAGGAGAATGGGATGGAGGTGTTGGAGCGGGAGGTTGTTGAGGGGGGAAGGATATGAGCGTGGAGCATGGGTGAGCGGGGTGTCTGGATAATGGGATGACTGGCGTTTGGAGATGGATATGCATGGTTGAATGCATCGTGTGGGGGTGTTTGCGCCGCACGGCAGGGAGGTAATGTGCATTTGTTTGTTTATATATTGTCGCGGCCAAACCGGCTTGCTTGACAGCGGGCGTCCTTTAGCGACTACACGAATGGTACTGGCCTAGAATAGCGCAAGGCTGGATGGGTTATTGAATCTAACCTAAAGATGAAGTTAGATATTGTATTGCGCTTAGAGTTGGATGCCGATGAAAAATTAGCATGCTCTTTACCATCGTTTTCCTTTTGAATGGAATACAAACCTTTCAAGGGGGGGCTTTGTTGCCATAATTCCCCTTTGTTTTCCTCTCCTACTGGTTTCCCCTTCTTGCACCCCTTTGGGCGGTCCCTCCCCTCAGGCACGGTAGAACATTGGCCCGGCTGATGCCAAATGGGATTGGCCGAGCCATCAGCGTCAAGGCTGCAAGCCAAGTCGGATTTTGATGGCCTGAACCTCTTAAAAGCACTACGCTTCATCTCGTCTTCAACCAACCCACAACCAACCCACAAAGCGGGAACAAAAGAAATGTGGTCAGGAGGCGGATTCCCGTCCATCGGCGGCTTCGGCGGCTTAAACCGCTGCCGGGGATGCGACCACCCACGACCAGCCTACACCGGGGGCTACAGCTCAGTGCGGTCGAACCTGGGCACCATGCTCACGCACTCCAAATACATCGGCTGCGAGGTGTGCACCATCCTGTCGGACGGCATCCTCAAGTTCCTTGAGGACAACTCGTGCGGGGTTACGCGAGATGATGTGAATGACGTGCATTTGGATTTCAACTTGGCTGCCACGAGGCGGAGTATCGAGGTGGTGTTGTTGCAGACGCCCGTGAAGTTGACGTTTTATGCGTCAGAGAGTGGGTTCAGTCGTGTCCTAGGGAGTTGGTTAATGGAATATGCTGACATTTGCCCAGTCACCCCATGGCTTGCGGACAACATGCCCGATCTCCCCGTCGGAAAGGAGATCCCGTCCACAACGGCCTCCGAGGAGACCCTGGCCTGGGCGGTCCGAGAGCTCGACCACTGCAGGCAGAATCATGAGGCCTGCAACAGCTTTCCGCCTGCGCCGCTTCCGAGCAGGGTCTTGGATCTGCGCGCGGACGGCGAGAGCGGGGTGCGTCTGTACGTGTCCCAAGGGGAAACCTCCCCGTATGTGGCCCTCAGCCACTGCTGGGGACCGCGTCCCTTTTTGCGAACTCTGACTGGCAGCTTGGACGAGCACAAAGCTGAGATCGCTTGGTCACGTCTTCCCCGCAACTTTCAGGACGCAATCGAGTTCACCCGCAAGCTGGGGATTCGGTACCTGTGGATTGACAGCCTCTGCATCATCCAGGACGACATTGAGGACTGGCGATACGAGGCTGCCCAGATGGGGTCGGTCTACCGGAACGCGACCCTTGTAATATCAGCAGCCAAATCCGAGAGCGCATACGGCGGGCTCTACGCCGAGATGCCGGAGAAACACAGGACCTACACCGTCACATTCACCCCTGGACAGGACGACGATGACGACGATGACGACGACGATAGATCCACCTCCCACTGCAACAGCGACGACGAGACCAACAACATCACCACCACCACCACCACCAACAACAGCAACCCACCCAAACCCAAACCCCCTCCCGAACAAATCCACTTCCGCGTCTCCCTCTCGCACCCCCACCGCCTCCTCTCCCACCACCACGCGCCAACCTCCTCCCTCCCCATCTTCACGCGCGGCTGGATTCTGCAAGAGCGCTTCCTCTCCCCGCGCATCCTGCACTTCGGCCCGGAAGAGCTCTCCCTCGAATGCCTGACCACCACGACCTGCCAATGCACACCCCCCACACTCCCCCGACTCCCCCACCGGCCGTCGGCCTCGCCGTCACCGACGCTTCGGCCCGGGCCTGGGTTCACCCTACATGTTGGACCGCCACGCCCCGCCCCCCACCAGTAGTAGTTCTCTCTAGCAGGGGAGTTCGGGCGGTCTCGAACCCGATGCCTTCGCCCTGTGCGCGCGCCCCCCTGGTCGAGGACTACACGCACCTGCGTTTACATGTGAGGGAGATGTGTTCCCCCCCGGTTCCCGGCCTGCCGCCGCAGATGGCGGGGGTGAGGGGGGGAGGAGGCGCGCAGGTATCTGGCGGGGTTGTGGGAGGGGACGTTGTTGGCGGGGGATTTGTTGTGGCGCGTGGATCTGCCGCCCGCGGGGTATGTGACAAGTCCCGAGGCGGTGGACGGGCCGAAGGGGGTGGCGCAGGTGTGGGGGCTGGTGGAAGGTCTGTCGGCCGCGGAGGTGGCGCGCGCCGTCGTGGTCGTGGCCGGAGTGAGGGCGCCGGTGGGGTTTGAGAGGGGGGATCGAGGGGTCGACGCGGCGTGTGAGGTGGTGGAGGTGAGGTGTGAGGCGGTCGGGGAGGATCCGATGGGGGAGTTGAGGGAGGGAGAGAGTTGGTTGGTGTTGAAGGGAAGGTTGATCCCGACGGGAATGCGGTTTAAGAAGTTGAAGAAGGGGGAGGAGATGGAGCCGTGGAATACGCTAGACTTGGATATTTTGGGGACGACGCACATGCGGAATCTGTGGGCGGATGATGATTGTCGCGGTTTGGTCGGCCCGGATGGCCGGTTGCCGACTGTGTATATGTTGCCCGTCGGACGCAAGCTGCCGATGAAGGAGCTGTACTGCTTGGTCCTGACTCGGCTGCCGGAGGGGGAGAACCCCCTGGTCCGGGACCGTCCGGTGCAGGGTGATGGGCATCTCTACCGGCGTATCGCATTTCTGGAGATTTATGGCGGCCCGCCGAGCCCTGTAGATTGGGGATGGTTGCACGATCTTCTCGGGAAAGGAGAGGATGCAGTCGTGACGATCGTGTAGCTGACGCAGGCGACTCGGCGAGGATTGGCAACAAGGGACGCACGATATGGGGTGCAGGCATAAGTTTGAATAAGATACAAGTTCAGGTACCTATTCTTTTAGGAACATTCCGCCCTCGCGGCCATGACTTCAGCCCGTCCGCTGAGCTGGCTCGTCCAACCGACTCTCCTGAATGAAACTTTTACCACATCACACCCTCCTCCTGATCTAAGGGCCCACGAGCCCACAGAGCCTCCTCTTGTCTCCCTTTTTCTCTCAAGCATTAAAGACCGTATCATCCTGATCATCCGGCCAATAGTGACCGCAATGACAAGTACCTTACCTCACTAGGGGCTTTCATATGCATTTCATCCCAAGGCTTTGAGCATCCCGGCTGCCATATGACAATAGAGTCCTTTCCGGCAGGTCTTCTGTTCAGGACCCTCACCTTTGTGGAGCGGGACTTGTGGCGGCCAGTCGCCTCAGCGTCGACCATGCACTCTGCCTAATGCAGGTTCTTGTGGGCATCGCGGTACATCCTCAATATCCGCCATTGCCGCGCTAAATTGAACGCTCCTGGTAAGCAGGCTCTCTGTATTGGTTTTGATGGTATCTTTCCAACATCCAAAATTTGCAGCCGTTCCCAGTGAAGGATCGACGCGAATAGAACTACGAGGGGGCAGTGAAGAGTAACTTTCTGTCTCCATACCCGCAAACAGGAAGAAAACCTAAGGTAGGTATTGAATGCTGCCCAAAACGCTCTCGCGAGGCATTCCCAGTTCTGTTGCAAGCCTGCAGTTTGCGCCCAACATCTCGACACCCAATTCTCCTGCTGTTCGGTCCGCACCTATGGTAACGTTACATGAGAAAGTCATGCCCAGAAGTCCCCAGGCCAATGGGGAAGAATGGTTGTCGGTGCCGTCTGTCTCTTAGCATGGCGCATACACTCAATACGTCGCCGCACTAGGCAAGAATACACAAAGAGAAAACCAGGTTATTACCTTACTCAGCAAGATAGAATCGATTGTGAAATCCAATTACGGTCAAATCATGTATCCTAGAATTAATCATTTCCAGGTCAAGTGTTGAAGCTCGTTGAGTCACACCAGATTGACGGTGTAGAACAATGGAACCTACCTAGGTACCTAACCCTAGGTAGGTAAGGTAGGTAGGTAGGTAAGTATTATAAAAAGGGGGGGGAGGGCTTCATGTTGGCACGATTCCGAAGGCCGCCCCCATCGACCCTTTGCAGCGAAGACCTTCGAGGGAGAATCACAATCTGACCAATCTGGACCTGAAGTTCATGACGTTCTTCAATGTTCCAGCCCAAGCCAGTTCAAGCTCGGCCCGATTGAACTGCACTGCGCGTTATGATAAGATGATTGGCATACATGACGGCCGCCGCTACTTTTCACGGGCATCGTCGAGCTAGCAAGGATGCCGCCCAGATGAGTATAGGATGGAGCGGGCGAGATACGTGGCGTTGGCAACTTGAAGGACCAAAAGGTTCACTGCTGCCGTTACACAACGCCACCTCCGACCACTTGGAGCGGAATTGCAATTCTCAAGACTTAAGGTCATCAAGTGAGGTAGATCTCTTTCGGTAGAGTCTACCGGGTAGACATGACCTTGGTCCTGAACTGTGAGGGGAACATTTCATCCGTTTGGTTGCCACAAATATATGCACCAACTGCCCATTGTCTTTTGATACTCAGCGCCGAAGCGAGAATGGGGTCGTGAAGACGGACATGAAGTCTCTGTTACCTTCAACCTGTCTCTCACTTGTACCTGTCATAATGGGGAGGTACATGAAGTACTGATGAAACACGAGTGCTTTATGTGGGTATCTCCAACATAATGCAAAGGTGGCCTGGCCCATCAAACGGTCTGTCATCAAATGGATGGGTGGTGTTGGGTAGAACGAGTCACAGCATACTCAGGACCTGCACCTGGTGGTGGATATAATGACACCCCTCCCTCATACTGATTTGCTTGCTCGGTTGAACTGAGGAGAGATCCGTGCTTCTGATCTCGTGGCATAGGCTCAAACGCGGGCAGGCATCGGTGATGCCCAACCCCCCTATTTTGTTGCCACAGATGCGGGCGAAGTTGGCACCATCCCTTTTTGTGCGTTCGGACCGGTGGATGGATATAAATACCAACCAACGACCTCTTAAGGACACGCTGCCTTCCACCAACACGCAGAAACAACAGTTGTTAAGATTTCGCATCAAGCCAAAGTAACGACAATATGGCCGGCATTGAGGAGTCTCTAACCCAGTTTCCAGCTGACCTTCAGAATGTACCCGGAGGACAATACTATTTCGAGTCCTCAGGGGCATCAGACGTTGTCACATACAATGGTACGGTGAGAGCCTTGGACTGGCCTGGCTTTCAGACCCCGGTACGTTCAACACTTCTGATCGACTGCGATGAAGTCCTGGCTTCCTCGTTTACCATGTGTGGACCAACGAAACCAGACCCTGAGCATGTACCAGGTTAAACCGTGCGTTGAGCTAATTTGTTGCTCGGCAGGCCCTCCCCGACCAACTTATCAAGCGCATCAAACATCTCCAACTCATTACCGAATCCAAGGACCACCTCGTCGCGCAGGATCCGGCTCGGGGAAACTGGGCATGGTTCGAGCTTGGCATTGTCAGAGGCTCGGAATCCAATCCCAATCAGGCAAACACAGAGGCTCTTTGTTGGATGAGCCACGAGAATGCTTTCATGACGAATGAGTTTGAATGGGTGAGCCACTAATTCATTGTATATCTCTCAGAGACCTTACAGCTGACCGCGGATTACACGATCATGCGTAGCGGGACGGAAGGGTCTTCGGTACATTCAACAACGACGGCTTGTTGCGTTCTCTCAAGGTCAGTGCCTCCAGAATCCAGAAGACCGCCTGACCCCACCCTGAGGCCATCCCCCGGTGAAGCAAATGTTATTTAACAACTGGATCCACAGAACGGAGACTTCATTCAAGTGCGGCTATGCTCTCGATATGGAAGCTGGGGTATCAGAGCAAGGAAGGGCTATTTGATCTTCGACATTGAGAATGAGGGGTCCGCCTCGCCTGCAGACAGCGACCGCTGGGCCTGGGAACAACCTCGGGATACATCCACCATGTTCGTCGCCGGTGCTGACGGCGCCGCAGAGATCTTGAGAGGATATAACCGGCGACTAACGATCACCTACCAAACCCTGGGCTCGTCCGGAGAATCAAACGTCAGTAATTTGGCCAACTGGGCAACGGACAACCAACCAGAGCCATCTTTACTGATCATCAACCTGAACGAACCATTTTCCACCTCCACTGTTCTCCGCACTCTGTCTGCTCTCCCCCAAAGTTTTTCATTCCGTCCGATATTGGTTGTGGTTGACGCGGCAAATCTGCCCTGGACGACAAGAGGCGCAGGCTTTCTTTCTTGGGATCAAATTGTCGAGAGCTTCTGGACCCTTCAAAGTACTCGCGGGGTTGATTGCCCTTATCACCTGCTCATCCGTTTTGGCTACGAAGGGGCCATCTACCAAGATCCAAACAATCAGCGCCACGATCCAGTTCTCATATTTGAGCCACGGAGTGCCGAAGGTGATTTCCTCAAGAAAACCCGAGCAGAAAATCCGACGCATCAGGAAGAGGAACTAGAGGCGACCGTGGACGCCGCATTCATGGCTGGTCTGGTCGCCTCCCTAGCCAAGGAATCCAAGCGCTCGATCGAAGAGCTATGCGAGACGCAGATCAAGGAAGCTGTGATCAACGGGCTTCTGTGGTGCCGCCGCTCGGTATCACCAAGGGCTCGCGGCGCATCGAGAGAGCAGCTCTGGAAAAAACTGATCTTAGAGACCGCACATGATCCAGTACTCATCCCGTCAACTCCGCGGCGCCCCCAATCAAACACGAAACCTCGATCGTCTTTGATCTTCCAAACACTTCCTTATGAGCCCGCCGCCGAGGCCGCGACCGAAGTTGTGCTGAAGCCCGATATCACCGGCAAGGAAGATTTGTTGCCCTATGTCCCGATCGCATGCTTTGGAAATAATTTCATTACCGCCGACCGGCGCGAGATCGAAGACTTTCGGGATCTTGCCCGTCAGGTCCAGGCGTACGTAAAGCAAGGCAGCAACGCCAGGCCGTTCCCTATTGCTGTGTTCGGTCGACCCGGCTCAGGCAAGTCATTCGGAGCCTCGGAAGTCATAGGAAGCTTGCTTCCAGACGGCACGTCCGAGACACTTAAGTTCAATCTTTCCCAGTGGCAGAAAGTTAGCGACTTCAAGTCGGCACTTCAAAAGGTCAAAGCAGTAGCAGAAAACCTGCTCCCCGTCGTGTACTTCGACGAATTCGATGCGAGTTTTAAGCATCAGCCGCTCTTTTGGGTTCGGTACTTCATGGAGCACTTAACTTCGCCCACTGGGAAGTGGCCCGGCTCCGAGACTGGGGTATTGAGAGGCGCCATTTACGTGTTCATCGGGGGTACGGCCGAAACCTTCGATGAGTTCCAATTTCAGCCCAGCCCCAGAGTCAGAGAGCTCATGGGCGGGGTTGGGGGGGGTGGCGGGACGGAGGAGGGTGGTCGTGTCGCTGAGGCTGTACGCGCTGGTTATCCTCGGTCCTGCATTCATCTCAAGAAACAGATCGACGACCATTTCGGGCCTAATACCAAACTGGAAACCATCAAATTCCTCGACACTGCGACAACCTACCAGCGTTTGGTGGAAGTTTTTCGCTGGGTACGGGACACTGACTCAGCAAACAAAACTGAAGCAAACCCCGCGACAGCCAAGCTTCCGGTTGTTTTCTTTGAGAACTTCGGCGCATCCAACGGGAAAGAACCTCTCGGTTGGTTAAAGTTCTTCCTTTCTCCCATGCAGGACGGGGAATTCTTCGACCCCGGGGTAAATGAAGGCGAGGAGGGCAGAGTGTGCAAGCTTGGACGCGCCATCTTCGTCTTTATAGAAGGAGACATGGGCCATTTCGACGGCTTCCTCGACTACCCGGACATGCTCGACCTCTTCAAGCACGCCAAGGGTCCCGACTTCGTCAGCCGACTGAGCGGACAGGTTGACAACCATGTCATAAACGGTGACGCAAGTGCTGACTGCCTGCGTAATGCCTTCGTACGCTACAAGGCAGGAACATCCTCCAAGCCGCTCTCCATCGGTGTCTTCCGCACTGACGAAACCTCGCGGAAAAAGTTTGCGGGGCTTATGGAGGCCAGAATCAACGTCCAGGGCCCAAACAAGGTTGACGACCACGACGAGATGTTTGTGATCCGGCGAGCGATCATGCTCCGTTATATGCTCAAGAAAGGCGGGCTCGAGGGAAAGCTTGCGCCTGGTAGCGATGTGCTAAACGCACTGTTGCAGGTTCCCAGGCTGCGGCATGGAGCCCGGTCGCTGGAAACCATTTTGGCAATGAGTGCTATTCCTGCCGAGGGACAGACTTTCGTCGCGAGTCACCTGCCCCCGGACAGCCAGCTCAAACTGCATGTGGATCTGGAGTCCTTTAAGAATTTCCTTGAACCAACTCCGCAACCAGAAGGAGAGGAGGGGCAGGAACGTGAGCGAGGTAAGCTTGGCGCAAGGGAATGGATAACCATGCGGCGCGGAAGCGGCTTCAGAAGAGAAAACTTGTGTTGAGTTCGGGGAGGCGTGTCTTTTGGAGCTTGTGTAACTACATCATTCATGGATCTGCTCAGCCCTGTCTCCCCTCATGAGACATGTCCTCCAACGGAGGGCCTTGGCTCATATCCTCGTCCGTGGCCGCGGCAGCGAACGTCCAAGATGCAGTATGTGGAAGGAAAGGGAAGAGGAATAAGGAGAGGGGGTCCATTGAGAGATGAACCTAGGTACCTAGAGTACCTCCATTATACCACACACGAGCTAATGTCAAAGCATGAACATTGTCACGGTGGATTTGAAGCACAACATATTGAAGACAATCTAATCTCAATTATCGCCCGGCCCTGCCAATGCGTCTCTTCGGTAAGAGCTACGAACCCGGTCCCCGTCCAGCGGTAAACCCGTCCATCCACTCCCAGATACCAACCCTTATCTCAGGTGGTTCTTGTTGTCGTGGTTGCAAGTGCATTTCTTGTCCGGCTCAGCAGCGTTCTTGGCGACGAAGGCGTTACAGCCACACTCGACCCTCTTCATGTGAGGGTTCAGCTTGTTGCCGGGGTTTGCCTTTGCCCATTGCGTGTGCTTGGGGTTGGTCATGGAGGCGGTGCAGCGGCCGGCGTTAGGCATTGTGGTGGTGGTGTGTGGTTGACACGGTACTGGGCTGTGTAAGCTAACTGTCCAACCGAGGGATTTTAAGGGGGTTACATACAAGTGCTAGTATTGGTTGTTGTTGTTGCGGTCTTAAATGAGGCGATTGATGATGAATAAGGAAATGTGAGAGTGAGAGAAGTGGCCGAATATATAATTATTCGAAGCATTACGTCATTCGATCACTGAGACACCGGCCCATCACAGGCTACCATGAGAGAACAGCAAAGAAACAGGGTGCTACACTTTTGGTACAAACATTCCCTGAACAAACCCACATAGTGCAGAGGCACCTGCTGGCTACTTGGCCGTAAAGGCGGCGCAGCCCACGCAAGTGGTTTCGCACTGCTGCCCCCGGCCATTGAAACTACACGGAACTAGGCATGCCCAGTTCTGGCTTTGAAAAACAGACTACCCACAAGTGGAGAAAGTATGTTTGTTGCCTGGTTTTAGGCGTGTAAGAACGGGATATGTGAAGCATTGTCATATACTTTCTGCCTAATGCTGGCTGTGGTGAAGGAAACGTCCGAAGTCAAACAAGGTTGTCATACAGTCATCCTAGCCTTGGCCTACTAGGCCGAGACGATAAGTCCGAGGGCGTCCCAACTTGGTTATGGGAAATTTGTGGCAAAAGGGCTGGTGTATGGTGGTTGATTGGAATCAAAGAATACCTACATGGGTGGTGACCAAGAATAAACAATGTTGATCTCGATCAAAATGAGTTTTCCCATAGATTTTAGTAGTATCCGGCTGGACTATCGGGCGGGATTCCCATCTAATGTGCGCTTCTATTCTGTGTGTGTTGTGTATGTCAAAGACACCGCCTCTTTCTCTTTGCATTGCCATTGCGGGCATGAGCTCTAGCTAAGATAATGGAAGAACTAGTGCACACCATAACTCAAAGACCACCTCCTATTACCTACCCACTTGCGATACGGTTCAGTTGTTCCAAAATCTCGGAAAACAACGGCCTTGTTTGGACTAAATCCAACAGGCCAGGAGTTGCCGCTGAGCCTTGTGTTGGTGACCCTCCCTTCGTAGTACTCTCGAGTGCATTACCCCTGACAAGGAGCAACTCTGCCATGAACGACCGAGCCAATTCGACCTCTCGGTTCCAGAAACGCTTCGCTGCATTGAGCGTGTCTACGGCCATTGTGGGTGTCTGACCACCTGTTGAACCTACCGGATGGATCTTTCCGCCCTGAAGAACCACGCCCGGTAACCGTGGATGACGGGTATCCCACTCCGGCGCCCCAGCCGTGCAAGTCTGTATTAACTCGCGGATAGCGCGTGGCGTTTTCTTAAACTCGGGAAACGCCCGCGCTTTCCCGGATCTTCTCGACTCGTACCCAGGGTCGCCATCTCGCAACACCTCGTGGTCGATGCCGCACCTGACGAACGGCTGCCCCTCGAAGATGCACCACAGCAGCTTCCCCAGCATGAAGACCTGGGCTCGCTCCAGCAGATGCATTCCCCAACCTTCTGCTTTCCTTGCCTCTAACAAGGCTAGCCACGGCGCACTGAACCCACCCTCCGTGTTGTGGTACCGCGGGCCAGCCGTGTCTGGCGACCACTCGGGATCGCCATAGTACTCCCTCAGCTCCTCGAGGATCACATCCTTTAAGTCGCCCTCCGCCAACCCCGACTCGTCCGCCAGAATCTCCAGATATTCCACGTACGCCACTTCGGGCGGACTCCACGCAAACCAGCCCCCCCGCTGTTCCAAGTCTATGAGTACCGCAGCCAGCATCCCCGTTTTCGCGTCCTGCCTGAGGACAATGTTGTCGGGCTTCAGATCGGGGTAGAAACCTGCGTTACTATGGCCATTGATGTGGATAAATGCCTCCGTAACTTCCGCAGCCCACTTCAGTTTCTGCTCCATCGAAGTAATCTCCTCATAGTCGTCCCTCAGAAGCCTCTCCTTCAACGAGCCTAGAGGGAACCACTCCAGCAAAAAGCCGCAAACCCCCCTCCGGTTCCCGAACCGCCCCTTTTTTGTAACCACTCCCAGCGGCCGAGCAATAAGATTCGGATGGCTCCCCAGTGAAAGCAGCATCTTCAGCTCATTGTACATATACCGCTGTTCCTGCTGCTGCAGCACGCTCTTGAACACCACCTCCTTCCCCTCAGCCAACCCAGCCACCTCCACCACCGAAATAACCTCATGCACCTGCCTCTTGAACCTCAGTCTCTCCCACTCCACAACCTCGACACCCTCCCAATCCACCTCTCCCTCCCACATCGCCCTCAACCCCTGCCAATCCACCATCCCCTGCTCGACCCCATACCCCGGCACGAGCGCCACCTCCTCCTCCACCCTGCCCACCCCATCCCCCTCCCCCGCAACAACCTCCAGAAAATCCACCACCACCGCCCACCCAAACGGAATACTCCACCACCTCTCTTCCAGTCTCATCTCTCCCTGCCTGATCGCCAAAACCCTCCCCAAGCATCATCCAAACTCAAGTCCGCCCGCCGCTGCATATCAACCTTCTTGTAAGATAGGATATGCTCCGGGGTGGATATCATGATGCCGCGCGGGCGGCTCCTAGTTTGCCTCGTCACGCTTCGACCCTCATAGCCCAACCTCTGGCCGATCGAGTCCGCTCGAGGTGCGCCAGGGGGTTGGCGCGGGTTGGGTGGGGTCGGGTTGGGGGGTGGGTGTGGTGGTGGTGGTGTTGTTGTTGTTTGGGGGGAGAAAGGCGGCTAGTGGGCTGAGGATGGAGGTGAATATGTCGCTGGTGAGGTCCATGATGGCGGGTCTCAGCCTCTCAGGGGCGAGATTTGTGTGGATGTATAAGTGGGTGGGGTGGTGAGAGCGGTTCCTGCCGAAAGTCTAATAATCTAATTCGGTGGGTTCAAGGAAATGGGGGCGATGGCCTTCCTACGAACCCGAGATTTTCACAGGGGAAGCAGGCGAGTGAGGATCCTTTAACCTGCCCTTTCCCCTTGTTGCCCAAGCTGCAATCTGATAACCCGCCGGACCCACGGCCTCGAAAGCACCACATGGCTGACCACGTAACCCCTATTCCCCATCACCGTATCGCGATGGCCCAAAACCCAACCTGAGATGAAGCCGAATCAAAAGAAACTCCCCCGGCCAACGCCCGAGGTTGCTGGCCACGTCGATCGACGATCCCAACCTGCAACCACAATCCCATCGTCCTCCCAAATTCCGTTCCCACCCCCCGTTTTGCCCCAACCCATTATCCCACCCGATATCCCACCCTAGGTTGCTCACCCGGCCGGCCACCCACCCGACAGCAGCGCACCCAATGATCCGCCAGCCCACCCGCTGCCCGCAACTCGCAAAGCGGGCCAGAGCGCGGCGCCGGGCGCCCTCAACCGGGCCCTCTCGAAAAACCTCCTCCACCTGGCCGGCTGCAATGTAACCCTCCCGGGGGCCGGAAGGAGCTTACTGCATGCGTGGCCCCCGCACGCCGCCAAATCATACGAGAGCCGAGACCTACCGGGCGCCGATCTAGCCCTACGAGGTCAGCCCAGAGTTGCATTTCGGGTGCAGAAGGGGGATTTGTGCATGCAGGGTGCTGAGGGGGATCGAACTTTTTTGGCGGGGATTTTGGGAAGTCGATGAAAATTGGAAAAGGGACACAGGGTTTTGCGCAGTTCCTCAAGGTTTAGTCACGATTGAGAGGAGACCGGAGGAAGTTTGCGCAAAATCTGGCTGTTGGTATCAAAGCTATTAACTGCTGCCGAGTGGTGCAGAAAGGGGTACCGTAACCCCAAAAGAAACTCATGCAGACCGAATATTAAAGACAATAAAAAAATCGACGCAAGAGTTGCGTCCAGGCGAACCCTTAAAAGCGAAATGTAAAAAATCACCGCCAGACCCTTTTCCGTACCATCCCTGAACTCCAGCACCAGCCTGAATGAACCCCAAACCCATGTCCCCACCAGCAGGCAGTAAACCCAAGCCCCTACGAACTCAACCGCTCACTCAACCGAAACAGGACCCTCGGCGCGTCCACGACATTCCACTGCTCGCCCAGCTCATTGTCCTCATAAATCCTCGCATTCCCCGCCTGCAACCCCCTGGGCAACTCCCACGCCAATTCCGGATTCTTCAGCCACATGCGCACCAAATACCGCGGCGACGCCGCATCGTCCTCAAACGCCTCGCGCGAGTGCAGCACGGCGTGGTTATTCACAAACAGGACATCGCCGGGCCGCGCATCCAGCACAATCTGGCTCCGCTTCGCAATCTCCTCGACCACGTCCAGCGCGCGGCGCTGGGCATCATCGAGGGCGGGGAGGCCGGCGGCGCGGCGCACGCCGTCGAGGCCGAGCAGGGGCTCGCGGGCAAAGTTGAGCAGGACGCGGCCGGCGTGGTGGTAGAGCAGCGGGCGCGTGCTGGAGGGGAGCAGCTTGCCGCGGCTGTCGAAGGACCAGATGGGCTGGGCGAGCAGCTCGCGCAGGTGCGGGTGCGTGCGCATCAGGGTGTTGTAGATGGTCCAGGAGGACGCCAGCATGTTCTTGCCGCCGGAGGAGGCGTTGTTGCGGATCTGGAGGGCGAGGATGTCGCAGAAGGTGTCGGTGTGGAAGGTCTGGGAGGGAGAGGGGGTTTGGTTAGCTAAGGGGGTCTGTCTGGGTGGGAGCTTGGGTGCAATAGGAAGGTGGCTGCTTACAGATGCTCGAGAGGAGTACCGTGTCGGTCGGTCCTGCTGGGGTGTTTTCGAAAGCTTCGCGTCACGAATGTGCACTGCAGGCGTCAGGCGTCAGACAAGGGGGGCTAGACGGTGAATTCGAGTGGCTTACTTAGCATATTACCCTCCTCGTCTTGTCGGCCACGCTTGACACCGACATAGCACGAAATGCCCAGGAATACCAGGACATTGTCCTCGGGCGAAAACTCGTCAGGCTTCAACCCTCGAACCACGGCAAATCCCCTCCCCCGGTGGACGTCGGCGGAAATCTGCCGAAGCTTCGGCCCGAGAGTCGGCAGGGGAAAGGTGGTGGGGGAGACTTCGTTTCCGTAAAGGCCGAGTTCTATTCTCGTCATCAGAGCCTGGCTCTTCGGTAAGTTATGACGCCTGTGATTCGGGGAACTAACCGTTAAAATGCTGCAGTCCTGATCTGACCTCCAAGACCTCGTCCTCGGTCAGGACCAGCGTGTAGTCATCCTCGGAAGCAAACGATGCCGGTCCCCACGCGAGATCACCCTCCAATTTGACCGGCCATTCGGTTGAGACGGGGACGTAACGAGGAGGGCAGTTGGCCTTCACAGCCAGGTTCCCCCAAGCTTGCCCTTGCTGTCCCAAAAGTACCGTCTCCGCGCCCATGGTGAGTATAGTGTCCTGAATGCTGGTAATGTCGATTTCAAGTAAAGATTTGTGAAGGTTTCGAGAACGGGTTGTTGCTATGGACTTGGGGTGTGTTTTAGTGTGTTGTGGAAAAAAGCCGACCCCAGGGGTGCCGAGGGTCAATGTAAATATAGCACAGCGGAGGAGCCGGAAACCTCGAATGCGCATTCTTCATCCCAATTCATCTTCGCGTTGCATCATGCGGCTCAAGATGCCGAGCGGGTCCAAGGGTCCTCCGGGTTGAGTTAGACCGCAGGAGGGGTGTTCTGCAGGCTGCCCCGAGATCACCAATGAACCTTTCCCGATTTAGGACGGCCCCCCATCCCAATGCAAGCCGGCTGCAGGGTGATAAGAGCTGTGGAGCCTATTGGCGGGGAGGGTATTTCGTGTACAAATCCGACCCAACGCTGGCGCCGCTGGGGGGGCCGAGACCGTCGTGGTCAAAGTGAGGGGCTGCCGCACAGCATCAGGAAGCGGGCGAAGAAGAAAGAGAAAGTCAGGCCACGTTTGCGAGAGATGGTTCCGCCGGTGGGGCATGCTCGAGGGTGTCGCGCGGTATCCAGTCGGGGTCAAAGAGCTGGCTGGTGTACCACCATTTTTCGTGATACATATCGCCCTTGTTGATGCTTTGGAATGTGGGCGCTACATGAAATGTCTTCGTCAGCTATGGAGCCGTGTCACTTACTCGTGACGGGGAATTACCTTTGTGGACCACAACATCCCGGCACTGCGACATGAACTGACTTTGTTCAGCATCAAGCCGGGCCATCCTTCGGACACGCGGGGCGGCCCAGTCAAACCCTGGCGTGAAGAGCTGCTGCCCCTTATAGCAGTAGTGGAAATGCGCCAGGATGGTCTTGGCCCCCGAGTTCGTCGCCCGGACAAGCGGCATGTCTAGGTACCGTATCTTCTCGTTTGTGAGCAAGGAGCCGTGCAGGGAGTCGAGGTTACTTACCTGTGCCTCCCTCCGCCTGGCGAACTGGCTCTGGAATAGCATTTGCATCTCGTAATTCTGCAGGAGGATGAAACATGTCAAAAAGGTGGCGAACCAGTCCTTGGGATTGTGCGTGTTGAAGGTGCCCTGGAGGATGCGAAGGACGTCCTTCCTAAGCGGAGCAAGAATGCGGTGCATGACGATGGACGCAAATTGGTAGTCGATGTACGGCGGGGGGGAATCCAGGCCCTTGTAGAATGGATCCTCTGGGTTCATGGCCCGAAGCTCGCTGTCGGCCCAGCCCGTCTCTGACCAACATCTCCACTTGGATTCGATAAAACGACAGGCAACCCAGAGTCTCAGTGTCTTTTTGAGCATCTCGTTCTGCAACATCCGTCAGCCGATGTAAATGAGCAAGTTACGGGGTACCATAAAACCTACCGGAAGAGGGAAGACGGATGCTCTGTAGGCAGCCTGGAAGATGTTCCAAACGAGGGGGTCTGTGTCGTCCAAATAGGCCGCCATATACCGCGTAACAGATCGGTCGATATACTCAGTTATCGCTTCCACCACGGCATCGGGGTCGGCAACAGCCCAGGGGACGGCATACATCGGCCGCCCCTTGAGGTCCACATCTCTGGTATTGGCGGGCGGAACGAACTCCCGCAGCTCGATCTTGATATGCATGGACCCGACCTGACCCAGACACAAGACTTTAGAGGGAGCATCGGTCCACTGGCGTTCCAGGTGAAAATCGCCATAGTGAGGCCCGACCATGGGATGGGTTCTGTAGAAGGGCATGTAGTCCAGGCCGGTTCGGAAGAGGGTGCTGTCGGTGACCATGTATCGGAGGCAAGGCAGTCGGCTCATGCGCACCGTTCTATTTTGGCAGGTCAAACACGGGCCCCGGGGATTGTTGGGGTCGGGAATGCACTACCAAAATCAGCAAGGCTGTATTCGTATTGGGCGGTGAGCTGCACCAAATTCGCCGTCGTATCTTACCCTATTTCTTTGCATTCTGCACCTAACACAAGCATGGAGCTGGCGGGTAAGGTGAGTGTCGACTCTCTTGCTTCCTTCATAAGGGCTGCGTTTCTTCTTGACGCGATGAGAGGAGCTCTCTGACGGAGTTTGGGCGCTGTGTTTGGGGACTTTAGGGGCGATCCTGTGATAACGCTTGTCGATGGATCCCATGGGAGGCGACATGGGCAGCTTCGACAATGGAGATTCGGAGGAGGCCGAAACAAGAGACCAATCGGCTGAGGCATCTTCCAGCACATATTCCTGGTCTTCCCGGACGGTGTACTCGCTGACGGAGTCAAAATCGACTTTCGCGTCCGACACCGGTACGTACGACCCATCGTCGGCGGCATCGGAATCCATTGTGACATCGTCGAAAGCAAAGACATGACCGGGAGGTGGGTTAATACCCCAGGCAGCCTCATCGCAGTCATAAGAAGTTGTGTGGGGGTTGAGGAGAACGACTCTGGCCCCTTGGTCCTTGGTGACGGGAGGCCCGGGGGCGGGAAGAGCCAATTCGGAGGGGTCGCTCCCAGAACCGCTCAAATTGGGGTCTCCCAGGTCAAAGGTGTCCAAGTCCAAGTCCAGGTCCAGTTCCAGGCGCAGGTCCGGGTCAAAAGATGGTTGGTGGTGTTGGTTAGAAAGGACAGGGCTCTCTTGATGTTGGAAAAGTGGTGACCGCTGCTGGCTTGCAATGTGTCGAGGTCGAGGTTGAGGCGATGGCTGGGGCGAGCTGCTAACGGAGCCTGCGGTGATCTTGCTGCTGTTGAGTCGGCTCTGTTGCAGCAGCTCATCCACTGTAAGGTTCAGCAAGCCCGCTACTCGCTGAATGTCCTCCAAATCCTTTCCCGAAAACTCCATGCTGGCGAGGGGCTCGTTGGCAATTGCTGTCCCCGATGCGAGGAGCGACCTTGGGCTGTTGTGTGCAATATTCCAGAGCGGCTTGCGGGCCTCTTTTATTGCGAAGAGGGCGAGGGACCTGCATCGCTTTCCAGGCCCAACGCTGTTGGTTCGCCCATTGATCGGTTTCGTTGTTGGCGGCATCCGATCAGACATGATTGGTCCACCTCCCTGTCCCACCCCCAAACCGGCCATCCCCCTCCAGCTCAAAGCCGCCACCTGCACCTGCACATGATGCCCGCCCGCGCCGCCCACGCCGGCTTGCCCCAAGCATGCGCAACCAATCGCATAACACATCGGCTGTCCAAGGTCCATGTAGTCGCGACATGGAATCAAGACAGTGGCAGGCGTCTTGTGAGCGTGCGCTCTTGATGGCCGCGTTCAGCCGCTGGGACGATGCCGCCAGGTCCTGAAACGCCAGTTGGAGTGGTTGATTCTGGGTTAGAAATCAGCGACAAGGGCCAACTGGGAGGAGAACAAGGAGATGACGAAAACGCCACAAGAAAAGAAGAAAACGCAATAACCAAAGAAGAGGATGACAAGGAGGAAAGGAAGAAGAAGGGCAAGATGGAAAAGAATGACAAGGCCGAAAACATAGAAAACGACAAGAAAGGGGTAGTGTATGAAAACAAGGCAAAAGAAGCGAAAAATTGTGTAACTAACAGAAAGTGGGGAGGCACCAAAGCCAGAAACGAAGGAATATGAGGACGATGACAAGAGAGAGCATCGTGATCTGGGAAGAGTGAATGTACCTAATAAAAAAAAAAAGTCAGAGACTGGACGCAACGGCTTGCTCTGGGTGTGATTTGTTTTCTTACCCAGGCGGGAGCTCCGTACAGCAAATTGTCGTTGATTGGTGATGAAATTGCCAGTGTTTTGGGGGGTGCTTGAGTCTGCGAGTTAGGTGGTGATGGGAACATAATTACCAAGTAGGTCCTTGGGCTAGAGGAGGTATTTGAATCGGCAGCGACGTCCAAGGGCCGAGCCCCCTCCTAGCTGTGGTCTTCTTTACAATTGAACAGAGACTTTCAAGGCTGCAAAGCACCGCCTGTGCTAGAACAGGGCAAGCCCTCGATGCTGATGTGACATGTCAGATGAAACGAAAGCGAAGGTACCTAGATAGGTGGGCAAGTCCCTACCCAACGAACGACAAGGCTAAAAAACAAGAGACATCACTCTAGCTGCGTCTGCCAATCAAGATGACGGCTGAGAATTAAAAGGCATCCCTACTGTATCTGTCATGATCGAAGTTGTCTGAGAAGAAGAATGCATTTCCTCGATGGGGGGCCCGGAGGGTCATGGTTTTAGGCTTTTAGCAAGGCCGCAAGCCCACGATTAGAAAGCCCAATTCACCTTTCCCACATGACCAAGTCAAGCTGCAAGGCAGAAAAATGCCGGGATGCGGCTTATTCCTTCATTGACCAGATTTTCATCCTGTTCCTTGATTTAAGGGTCCCCTGGGATAATTCTCGCACGTGCAACAGATGGCCGGCTGAGGTTCCATCACTGCCCGAGGTGGGCCGACTGGGTAAGGACGTACCTATTTACCTTGTTAGGACAGATCGGTTGGCCTGGGCCAATAAGAGCCTCAGAGAAACCGATCAATGAACGAGCCAACAGCGTTGCAGCTGGAACCTGGAACCCTAACGGCCGTCATCATCCGCAACCTGCCCGCTGCAGGAAACCGAGATCATTTGCGATCAATGGCTGTGGCAAAGGTGCAAGAGTAGAAAAAAAAAGGCGGGGCCGGGGAGGAAGAAAGAGAATGCAACTGCATGCAACTAATAAGGATAATTAGGTAGCAAAGTTTAATCCGATCGTCCAAAGTTTCAATCACACCGGCCTTCTACAATGTTGGATCTGCAACCCCTCATAGCTGCCACCTTACCATACTCCACCAGCCCAGATACCTGCAACGGACTCAACGTCCAGGTTGCCAAAATGCCTTGGTTTAATATTGCCAAGGGTTCTTATCGTTTCCCTTTGCCCTACATTAATATATTAACTAGCTTGTATATCAAATGGGAAGCGCTTTCTCTACTTTCTACGAGGTCAAGGGTTTAGGTGGTATGATGGCAGCCGGTATTACGGTGCAAGGACACGGCGAAGGAGTAGCCACTCCCTCGTTTGACGAGATCGGCGCCTTCGAAGTATTTTTTACTGTAGAAATGCGAATAGGAAGCTTTCGGTGGTTGCTTTAACGTCTAGTTTCTTAGTAGAAAGGAGGATGCCGAGGTTGAGGGACGGTAGGCTGGAATGTAGCAGGTGGCAGATTGGCCGCATTTACCTAGGATAGGTAGGCACCTTAATCAAGGCAAGGTATCTTACGGTTGGTCGTGGGGTTGGGGAAACCTGGGCCTAGCTTTGAAGGGCCAACTTGATGAAAATTACTCCGAGCGCACAAGTAGATAAAGGTAATAGGTTTCAAAAAATGCAGGTGAATTTAATGCCATTGATACACATTTAGAATCAAGTTATCACCAATGGTGATTCAGCAACAGCACATTATCAGACTCACAACCGGCGTGACCACAACCGGCCTGACGCGACTTCCATAAGTGAGAGCACTGATATTGTTTGGGGAAGGAAGGAGCTCTTTGAAGCACCTGCCTAGTTTAGAGCCGGCGGTAGATATGGTCCAATGAGAGTCGGTACACATTGTTGCACATCGAACATGAAACTTGAGATTCGATATCTACTACTTCTTCCTACGTAACACCAATCGGACAACAACGCCTCAACCGCCAATAATCGCTGAGCATTGCTCCTTTATTATGATAACTTCCTTGCTTGCTGTATTACTCTATATTCTCCACCAATCTCAAGTCTAGCTTTGATATGATTCGGACGGCAATTATTGTCATTCAAGTGTGGACCTTCCACATCAATCATGCCCTGCTGCATAGATACGTACCTACATATATTTAAAGTGTTTCATTTTTCACTAAAACTCTTCTTCGTTGCCGCGATGCAGTCACCTCAATGTGCCATCATTCACGCCCAGATTCACCAAGCATCTCTTTGATCACCGCCACAATGCTACCTTCTCAGGAATACTACACGGTGGGCCGGACCCTGACAGTTACCAGACTCCTGGGACCAGGCGCTCTCACTTCGCCGACAATTCTAGTTCGAATCCGGGAGTTAAAAAGCCGGACGATGTCTTACACCATGATTGTCAACATTGAGACCGACATTGAAAACCGATACTGGAACCGACACAGGCAGCGGCGGCTCAGCGGCAAAAACCGGATTCCTCAAGCTGTATGATCGAAGGTTTGCCCGCTCGTTGCGAGCGCAAGAGGGCGCCGGCAAATGGACACATGACATCGAGGATACATATGTGGAATCAATTCGTACCGGCTCAATCCAGCAGTTTGCCCATGACCTTCGTCACGTTGAGGGGTTCCGGGACGCCCAGAGCGAGCTGGACGCTCCGGACATCGCACAAGACGAAGCGTATATTAACGGCACGATGGTTCGGGACCATACACCCGAACTCGCTGTCCACAACGCACTGCACGATCAGCAGGGCAAAGTGGTACCTCGCCTCCTTGCCGCTGTGGACCTCGACCTTACGCGGCCAGGCGCCGAGAACGACGAACTGTTTCATATCAAGGGCATCCTACTAGAGTATATCGAAGGCTTCCGCATGTCAAAGTTTCCAGATGAGACGCCCCCGTCAGCATGGCAAAACATTGTTGACCAAGCCATCGCCGCCGTCAACGTCCTCGGCGACTACCATATCTTAGATACGGACCGCCGCCCCGATAATTTCATTGTCACACCCGACAAAAAAGGGGGGTTTCATGTCTTCATGGTCGATTTTGGTTGTGCCAGGTTCAAGCGGGAAGACGAATCAGAAGCGGAGTGGGCAAGCAACAAAGTCACCGAAAATGAAGAGACTGGAGTAGGCACTGTGTGCCAGAAATGCTTGGCCAGAGATTACGGATTTTGCTTGGAATACAAGCCATCCGATAGGTGGCTAGAGGCAGGCTTGGAATATGGCCGGGCACTTGCTCGGGTCGATATCGAACGGTATGAGAAGGAGAAAGCCGAGGCAACCTAATGAAGGCGGAAACAATCGTTCAAGAGGGAATCCTAGCCTATGTATGATAGTGAAAAGGGTCCACCTACAGCTACCGACCATTTGCATAACTTCGCCTCTCGAGTTTCGGACCGGGATGGAGACATTCCAGATTAGAGTCGAGTCATGACGCCGCAAAGGACCTGAAACCTCGGGCTCTGCTCGCTCTTGCAGGTTCCAGAAGAAATATGCTGGCGTTTGCGTTCGCATCAAGGGCAGTGGCATCATGGGCAGTGGCATCAAAGTCAGATGGCACCATGGGCAGTGGCCAAGTTTGCAGGTATCTCGGGACCACGACCAGGAAACATCCTGAGGTCAACCTCCATTGTCCTCCTTAGGACCGAAGCTAATCTCGGCGAGGTCAACGACTATCTAAATAACTACTTCTGGGGCATTCTTTTGCCATTATTATTGAGTATCTCTTCTTCAAAACCTTTTGGCTTTTGGAGTTCATCATCTCTTCCCTCAACCTGCCCATCAGATTTCGGCTAATAACGCACGTGCATGAGACCCCTCGACCCTTTTTAGGTGGGGTGTTTTTCTCCTTCCACGCCGATGTCAGGCCAGTAGGTTGGGTAAGTGAGGTAAGGTAGCTATCCAGCTCGTACTATACTCCGTACCCACTTCCTCAACCTTGGTTTCTCCTTGGGGGCCACTTATCGGTTACACGACCACCAATCATGCAAGGAAGCAAAAGACCGATCAGACAGAGGAGGTCACGCTTCTCTTCACCGAGAGGATCTACCTGCCGCGGCTTACTCGAAGGCCAGTTCACTGACAAACCACTCATCGAGTATATCTCAGTCGACACTGCCACGTTGCTCATCTCGGAGGCAAATGAGCCGAACACACAACGGGACGGGGAACATGTATATAGATCACGTAGAACATAGGATATAAATATCCCCTCCTCTCAACGCACGCTGGTATCGATTGAGCAAGACTAACATTCAGACTTGACTCGCGGCGTTCCACGTTACTCATTTGTGCTTGGGCGCAGCCTGGCGTCATCGCAGTCCCTTGCACCTACCCGGGCTATTACGACAGGCTCCAACGACCCCGCCCACCAACCTCGACAATGTCCACGAGGAAGCACATCCCCCAAGACATCCTAGAACTAATAAAACACACAAACCCAGCACCATCCAACGGCCCTTGCACCTCGCTGATGCGGTGCAACGGTGAGGTCTTCCCTCTCCGCGCCCAGCTCCGCCACTGCGTGGATTCTAATCCCGCAACTTGTCAGAGTTTGCGTGGCCTGAGTCTGTTGAATCGTCACCGGGTCCGGTTGCTCAGAAGTGGAAGTGGGAGTGGGGGTACACGGTCAGTGAGGGAACCTGACGGAATGTGTCCATCGCCGAGCCTCGGGGCTATGCTAACTGCACGCTAGCAAACTGCCACCACTACCAGCAGCGGTGGCAGTGGTGGTAGCAGTCGAGAGACCAGCTCACAGCAAACAGCTGCCACAACAACCATGACGCTTCCCGAAGGGCAGAGGTGACGGAGAGACAAAAACTATCTGATGGGGTTTGGGGGTTGCCATCAAATGGCCTCGTTGTTTTGTTGTTGGTTCACGTGTGGGCGACGTCTTTGGCAGTTACGGAGGGTCAACTGTTTCTTAGGTACGCGGTCGCAGTAGATCAAGCGCTGCGAGTCGTCGGTCTCCTAAATCGTGATAATACCGTCACATTCCATGTTCCTTGGGGTGCCGTGGCACGATGCGGGTAGACAGTTGCAGCCACTCCCGTGATGTTTGAGTGTTATGTACTACGGTGGTACACAGAAAAGTCAGTGACGGCAGCGCTTAAATTAGGCTACCCCGGAGAGACGAAGGGCGGAGGCGAGCGACCAGGTAAGCTTGATGTCATCGTCGGTGCTGGCAATTGGTGTTGGGGAAATTGTGGGTACGTCCGTCAGTGGTTCCTCGGTGAGAGAGAAATGGCCCGAAATGGCCAGTGCCCAGGCTCCCAGGTCCCAGGCACCCAGGCAGAGCGGGACCTGAAATCCCAATCGCCTGGTCGGTCCGGGGCGAGCATGACCATTTGCAGCCAACCAACGCATGCTTGGCCCTGATGCGACCCACCCTTACGTCATGATCGTCAAAACTCCGGGGGCGCCAAGGATGCCATTCCAAGGAAGGTTTGGTTGGTTTTCGCCCTGGGAGATGAGCAAGATGAGGTATTCGTAGGTAGATGAGGTCACAGTTCGACCTGCCACGCCATGTCTTGCAGGAGCGTGTTGCACCTTTTTTTTTTTTTCCCCTTCGTGCATTCGTGGGCGCTGTTGCATTCTCTTTCCGCATTCGGGTCCATTGAAGAAGTTCAAATAGGGAAACCTTCCACTCGCTTTCCGCCATCTCCTCTACAGCGAAAAAGAATCCACTCGAGTCCTTGTCACTTGCACAATATTATTATATGAATTCTCCTAATCTGCATATACACCCACACAATGATCATCCGGCTGGCAAGCGAAGCCGATCTCGAGGACATGACGGCGGTCCTCGTCGGGGCCTCACCACTCGACCCGGTCTACCCCTACCGATTCCCCGGAGGGCACCTCTACTCGGACGAGTTCGCGGCCCTCTGCCGGCGGAAATGCGCCGAGTATCTCGAGAACAGCACAGTCGTGGTCTGCGAGCTGCCCGCCGATGACGGCAGCTCGTCAACGCAGGTCGTCGCCTTCAGCGCCTGGGACATGCCCGCCGCAGCACAACCCCTGAAATCGCGCCGTGAGAGCGCCCTCGGTACGTGCAGTGACGTCACCGGCCCTGGTGATAATAACAACACCCTCCCCGCCCCCGCCAAGAAACAACACTAACCACCGCCGCCCGCCCTCCAGAACCAACATCACCCACCTCCCCCACCCACCCCGCCTCCCCGACGACCATCGGCCACCTCACGCGGCAGTCCGCCTTCCGCGCGGCGCTCGAGCGAAACAAAGCCGCGCTGTTCGACGCGCGGTACGGACCCCTAACAGCAGCAGCAACCACCACCACGACTCCCACAAGGCGTCGTCCACGGCCACGTCTTCCTCAAGATCCTGCTCACCCACCCGGCGTGGCAGCGCCGTGACGCCGGCACGGCCCTGACCTCGTGGGGCATCGCGCAGGCCGCCGCCCTCGGCGTCCCCACCACCGTCTTTGCCAGCCCCATGGGCCTGGCCCTGTACCGCCGGCTGGGGTTCAGCGAGGTCGGTCGTTTTCGGGTGCAGTTGGAGGGGGAGAGGGACTTTTTGGAGATTCCGGCGCTGGTGAGGCCGGTGGGGATGGGAGGGGGGATGAGGGAGGTGGAGGGGGCGGTGGGGTTGGGGTTTTGTGGGAGGAGAGTGAGGGATTGTGTTGGTGATGGTGGTGCTGGTGGTGTTGTTGCGGGGTGGGGGGAGGGCGCGGTTTGTGCTTGAGCTTGCATTGATGGGGTTGTCAAGGTGGGGGTATGGTCGTTTAAAGTCTTGGTCTTGGTTTTGGTCTTGGTCTCGCATTGCGTTTGGGTGGGTCGATTGGTTCGGGCTAGATATATTGCTTTTGAGAAGGGAGTTTGGGGTACATGGTATCTTACCCGGGATGGCATCATTGCATGGATACACGGATACCGCGGGGAACAGAGGGAGGGTCGCGCTGCGTTCTGCGCGGGTTGAGGGCGTCGCGAGACATCCTGGCCGCGTTCACTATACTGGAAGAGAAGGGCTCGCTGTATAAGAAAGAGCCTCGCTTTTGTTGCTCAAAGCTAGATTTCGCCGTCCTTGGAATAATTTTTTATACCGTGCATCATCTGGAGCCGTTGGGTTGGAGATGACGAGCTGCAGTTGGATTTGAGTTGATGCAGGGCCATGCAACCGAAGGAGATCCTGGGCCTCATACAGTGGATGGCTGCGGCGGTTGAACTGTGGATCATCACTGTACGCTTATCTCAGCTCGGGCTTTATCGGAAATAACTAACTAACTAACTAGTTATTTCGACGTCCTCACGCCACCTCCATCTTCACATCCTACATCGCTAATGCCACTTTTCCCACCACCTCCGCCGGCAGCATTTGCTCATGGCTCCTCCACCTTTTGTTTGCGGTAGCTGCGCTCGCACGCTGCGATTAAGGACGATATCTCGCACCCCGCTTCCATCAACCCGCCGTCACATCTCCCAATCCCGCCCCGCATCCCTCCCCGCGAATGCTACAAGTTCCTCCCCACCGACGAACACCCAAGATGGCACCTCAAAAACATCAACACCTTCCGAAGCCTCCGACGTGCAACAGCCGAATGCCAACCCCGAACCCGGGCCCATGACAACCCGCCTACGGCAAGCCACCGAAGATGCCCTGCTCACCGGAGGCCGCGCCGGCCGCCGCGCCGTCGAAGAAGCCGGCTTCAGCGAGGAACTCAAGGCGCAGCTGCTCGACAAGGTAGCTACCGCCAGGTTCAACCACGAACACTCCGCCACGCTGGCCCAAGCGGGCATCACCTCGCGTCTCCCCGACTCGGCTGGGCTGGGCACACGCGCGATGGCCTCGGCCCAGCCTTGGACCGGGCAGGAGAGCACTGAGGATACCGTGCTGCGGATGTTGGATGATGCACGCAAGCCGCTAGGGCCGGGGCTGCGGGCGAAAAGCAAGCCGGTTGTCCCGCAGCCCGTCGACATGCGCATCAGGAGAGAGGTCGGCGTGACGCCCGGGCGGAGGGCCGCCGGCGCACGGGACAAAGCACAGGCTTACGCGGGGATGGGGATCAAAGACGCTGGGTTGAGCGAGAAGGAGAGGGAGGCCATGAGGAGGGAGTTTAAAGAACGCTTTGCGCCGGGGGCGAGAGCGATGCCGAATACCGTGTCCGGGCTGGCGGCCTTGGCGAACGAACGAATCGAGGACGCGATCGCAAGGGGCCAGTTCAAAAATATCCCCCGGGGGAAGGGGATCGAGAGAGACAGGCGGGCAGACAACCCGTTCATCGACACCGTGAGTGTTTCGGCCAACCACTCCTGCCAACCGCGCCCGCCACTCTGACCGCCGTGACAGACGGAATACATCATGAACAAGATGATCAAGCGACAGGACCTGGTCCCGCCGTGGATCGAGAAACAACAGGAGGTCGCCAAAACGGCGGCAAACTTCCGCGGCCGGCTGCGAAACGACTGGAAGCGCCACGCCGCGCGCATGATCTCCGCCCGCGGCGGCACCCTCGAGCAGCAGATCGCCCGCGCGGAGGCCTACGCGCGTGCCGAAGAGGCCCACAACCCACGCCGGCGCCGCCCCGACCAGATCGCGGTCCCGACCACCGTGACCAACGACGCGGTCATGACGGTGGCCAGCGGCTCCCCCAGCCCAACCACCAACCCATCCCCATCACCCCCCTCCACCACCACTACCCCCTCCCCCTCATCCGCATCACCATCCTAACCGACAGAGCCATCCCTCTCTTCGTCAAAAACAGTAATGAAACACGCCGGAACCCATGCATACCGGATGCCGGCTGGGGAAGCGGTGCAAGCCCCGCACTAAAAAGGGCGGAGCGTTGCCCTGAGTACAGAAAAAAACCTCCCTTAAAGGATGGGCTCGAGTCCGTCCATGCCCCCAATTTATCGCTGCAAGAGACCCGACCCGCCTGCTATCGGGAACATGATCCCTCAGTCTGTCAACGGACAGTGCACTCCCTGACCTTTTTGCCAACATTGGGGGGTCGGTAGCGGAAAGTCTAAGGGGTTGCCCATTGTTGGCTCGCGAACCTCCGTTTGCGGACCTGGGGCCGTGTGAGGGAGGCTCAGGCCTTTGGAGGGCGTTTGCCGAAGATCCGATTTCATGGAGCGAACTGGAGCCCCGAAAAGGCCAAATACAAGCCGTATAAATTTAAACGAAACACCCACCCGGTGGTTGCCAAGAATCGGTGGAGGGAGGCCAACTTGCCTCCTACGTCTAACCTTCGATAGCGTTTCTGCTATGGCTACAGAATGTTTTAAAAGGCTAT